GGCTAGTTTTAAATGGTCTGTCCCTAGAAACTACTGAATCCAAATAGCTTCCTGCTAAAAAAGTTGATGCTCCAACCTGATAAGGTTGCGAGTTCAGATATCACCTGAATAGCAGACATCATATCGTATCTTAGATGTTCTCTTCCTTCTTGTAGACCCTATTCTACTCCCTAATTTATAAAGGACTTTGGGATAATGAAATTGATAAAGAGGTAGCTTAAGCACAAGGAGAGGAAACTGTATTGTACATCTATACCCCCAGGGGTCCCCAATGTATTGCCTGAGGGCTAGATGGGATTTATGGTTGGCCACTGGAGATTTGATTGGCTGTGAGGATTTTTTAAAATGTTGCTTTGGCTGCAGTTGTCACCATAGCACAAGGATTCTCACTTTATAATTGAAGGTAAATTGAGGCAGCCATTTTGTGGCAGTCTTCGTGTCTTGCAGCAGCTGTTTTGTTGGCATCCAGTTTGTGGCTGCACCCGCCACACTGTGTTAGAACGCCAAAGTTGCCCACAGGGTGAATAAGGTTGGGAGCCCAATCTACAGTTATAGAACTAGTATTGTGTCAATGATATCGTGTGGCAGGCATATGGAACCTGATCACTAATTTAATCCATAGAAACCATTTTCATGTACCCTATTTCCATCCTATCTAAAAGCAATGCAAGCTGTGATTAGATCTTTTCAAATCTGATCTGCTTTTACATCCTACCACTCTTTATATATATATAAAAACTTTCCCTCCCAGTTTTCTTAGCTTTTCACTTGGGTTGGAAGAGTCGATGTCTTATGTGCCCCCTCTGAATATCTCTTCTCCCTTAAAATCCCCCCCCTGGAAATTTTAATTGAAAGGTGAAATAGGAATGTTTTAAATGAATGATATTTTTTTTTCCAAAATAAGTTCAGTCCTTGAGAAAATTGTGGGAGAAAAGGGGACATTATATCAAAGTTTGTAGAAAATAGCACTTTGACACTGTATTTACTGATTGGGCTGAGGAAAACTAGGTGCAGGGAGTGAAGAAGGTGATTGCTTAATTCTCATTTTTACTCCAGTAGAGGTTCATATGGACAACAAAAAACTACCGTATTAAGGGATTTCTGTGTCATAATTCTTGTTGGTTTTTTCATGAACTCTTGAAATAAACTTCTTTGTACATAGAGTAGGGATCCCAAGTCCCCCTGGGGGGCGGGGAAAACCCCGCCCCAGAGGCCCATTCCCCAGCGCCGCCGGATCGGGCCCTGGGAGAAACTCCACTCCAACCTGTGCGTCACCCGGAAATGACTCGGGCACACTGGGGGTGGGGCCACGGCCATACAAGGGAAAAAAAAACTCTATGTTTTTCCCTTGTATGGCCATGGCCCCGCCCCCAGCATGCCTGCCGTCCTCCCATCACTTCCAGGTGACATGCGTGCGATGCGTGCACAAGACACCAACCGGGAGCCCCCCGCTCCCGGCGAAGATAGACTTGGCAACCCTAACATAGAGTGATTGTAAGAATGTACAGTGGATGTAAGAATCAGTGTTTGTCTGGTTGTGATCTATTTCTTTGATAACTTAAATATATCAGCATGTTGCAACTATTTTATAACTATTCTACTGTTAAGTTTTTCCCCAGCGTAGCTTAATTTAATTAACTCAACTTCTGTAAAGTGGTTTAGAAACTATTTTGTATTCATTTTGCAGACATTTCAGAAGTGTTTTGTTGAACCACAGGTCTTAGATGTAGAATACAAACCTTGTAAGCTAATAACCCCTTGTAGTCTTGATGCTGAATGGCTATTGATCACTTGTGCCTTCCCAGTTTTTCATGTGTTGGTGTTGTAAAGCCCCCCCCCCCCCCCTTTTTAATTTAAAAAATATTTGTACAGTACTAATAGAAATTCTGGTGTGGGCCAGCATATCACAGATGGTGTAGTTTAAGGTTTGGACAGAGTTGCTGCGAATGAAGTCCTGCTGTGAAATAAAAGTCAAAAAGCATCTTGGCATCCCAACCATTTCCTTGGGAGAAGATTACAGCCTGAGTATGCTGAACTTTATTGCTATGGGCCTCATGACAGTATTCAGAAACATGCATGGCATTTTTGCTAAAGAAACTCAGATGTGCTTAGACACAGGGGATGTCGTTCTTGTGTTTCTCAGTGTCTTAAGAAAAAAAAATAAAAACAAGGCCCTCTAGACCAATGAGTTTTGTCTTCATAATGGAGTGTGATAACAACATGAAATGATGTGAAATATAGGGAATTAGTCTGCTTTTAATGCCTAGGATTTTTTCATATGTTGGGAAAGGAAAAAACAAAAATCTTATCCTGTGCTAGTGGAAAATGAATGTTTTAAAGTGTCATTGCTGGTTTTGACTGCTGCTTCATCCAAAGTACTGCAGAGTTGCCCAGGACAGATGTTTTTCATTGCTGAAATTTAGAACATTACATAGGGTAAATCTAGGTAAAATTTGTTTTGGGTTGGAGTAGATTAATTTGTTTCCAAGTCTGACTAGTGGAAAATTGCATTCAAAAGTCATTTTATTCATTCCTGCCCTGATTGTACTAAAACCCATCTTGCTGATACTCACTTAAGTATCTTTTTCTGAAT